TATAATACAGTTGGTTCAACCTCAGTTGGTAATAAAATCTAGCTTGGTCTGAATCAGAAAAATCATCAAAATGTTTTTGATTACTTCTGTGAAAACCTCAGCAGGAAGCCAGGACCAATCCTGAGAAGCCAGAGCAGTGCATATGAGAAACTCTTCACCCTCAACTTTTATAAACGTTTTATTAACAAGAATTATTTGTTGCTTTTTGAAAGAAAGTTGGCATTATTTTAAAAGAAATTTAAAGCGTGTCTAAAATGAGGTCAGGAAAATCCCACACTCTCCCACCCAAACCCATAAGATTTTCCAAAATAATAAAGACATTTTAAAGATCCAGCAGAAGCTGGGATTTTGCTTAATTTAGAAACCACATTTGCTTTTGAAAGTTGATTTAATGGAATGTTTGGCAAATTATCATATTTCTTGGTGGAAATTTTTTTTAAGATTTTATTTATTTAATTGACAGAGAGAAATAGACAGCGTGAGAGGGAACACAAGCAGGGGGAGTGGGAGAGGGAGAAGCAGGCTTCCAGCCAAGCAGGGAGCCTGATGCGGGGCTCGATCCCAGGACCCTGGGATCATGACCTGAGGCAAAGGCAGTCACTTAACCAACTGAGCCACCCAGGCACCCCTTTTGGTGGAATTTTTAACATGGGTCCTTTAAGACCAATTGGTCCAACTTGTAGGAGCAAAAAGAACCCGAAGAACTGCATTCATTTTTTTTTTCATTGCTGTTTTAGAGTATGCTGTGACATTAGGGTCCTGTTCCTGGAACATTCCTAACATGTCCTGTGAATGGATGGGGAGACCATAGCCACAGGTTTGTAGGCTCTGCGGGTGGAATCTGGATCTTCTAAAATCTCCAAAGCTTATTTATTAATTTTGATGAGAAATAAAGTATCAAGTGGATAAGACATTAACATTTGAGATCCGGGGCGTTTCCCCTAAGTTCCCATTGTACAATAACCTCTATTGTGATTACCACATTCCCTCTTTATGCGTGTTACTGTATTCAATTAAGTTACAGTCCTGTCTTGGCTGGGGAAATAGTGTCTTTATAAAGTATCTTGCATATCTCTACTTTGGTTTAATCGAATGAGGCCAATTGATTTCTAAGTTCTTGGAGATAAGGCACTTCTGTTGCTGCTAGTTGCTACCTACAAACCCTTTCCAATATCCTGATTTTTCAAAGTAAAGAAAGTGCTTTAAGAATTTGTTCGTATATACTGAGTAGTTTAAAAAAATTTTTTTAAGACTATGACCTTCCAGGGCGCCTGGGTGTCTCAGTGGGTTAAGTGTCCAGCTCTTGATTTTGGCTCCTGTCATTATCTCAGGGTCATGAGATCGAGCTCCACAAGATTCTCTCTTGAGAGTCTCTCTTTCCCTCCCCACTGTCCCGCCCCACCTTAAAAAAAAAAAAAGATAATGATCTTTCAAAGTTCTAAGCAATTTAGAATAAGAGTAAACAATTTTGCTTTTCTAGTCCTTTTTGCAGTGTTTTGAGAGGAAATTTACTACTCTTGTGTTTTAAAAGAACAGTGCTAACAGCTAACACTTTGTACTTTGTCCCAGGTTCTGTATTGGGTACTTCACATGCATTAACTCATGTAATCCTTACAACAATCCCATGGGTTAACTACTATTATTCCCTCTACGGTACACACCAGGAAAGAGGCCCAAGGAGGTGGAGAAATTTACCCAAGATCACAAGGCCAGGCAATGGCAAAGCCAGGGTTTCATCCCAGGCAGCCTGGCTCCAGAGTCTGTGCACTTAACCTATGTTTGAGGGCCTCAAAGTCCTGGGATAAACCCAAGGACTTTTACTATTTTTAAACAAGGAAAAGATCTCTCATACAAGCTTATACTTTGCTGGTGGTCCCCCCCCCCCGCCCCCGATACATACGAAAAGAACTAGATCTCATTTACAGTCTGATTTCAGTTAAGGGGGAATCTACTGATTGCCAGTTTTGTTACAGCAGGGGAAATGCTTGACCTGATAACACTTTCACTTGGTAGTCTATTATTTCTAGCTCCCAAGGAGGGCTGCCTTTTATCTGGGAAAAATTCTGCCAACTATATGGATCAGTTCTAATTTTTCAGTAACACATCTATGGAATTAATATAGCAGTGATATTCTTTCAATATTGTAAACTTCTCTTTTAAAGATTTTATTGCTGTACAACAGCCAAAATATTTTTCTGAGCATTATTGCTTCATTTTTCTTCAGAGAATTTCACAATTTCACAATCTGATGCTTTCAACTACACTAATTGCTTGCAGCCTTTGGCCATGTTTCATTCAGTTGTTTAGAGAAATATTTAAATCAAATATGGACTTTTAAAACAATCTTCAGACAACTAAAATGTCATAGGAGTGGTTTCAGCGACAGGTTTTGAAATATAAGTCAAAAACCCGCAAAGTTATTATCGCTTCTTGGCCTTTTGGCTAAGATCAAGTGTAAAAGCCCCCAAAGTTATCGTATTACAAATTTTCCTATGGGAAACGTATATTTGCAGGACAAACAAGCAAACCAACAAAAGGAGAAACCAGAGCAATAAACTTGTGACATTACAAGAAAGCTCCAAAATAAAAGCCCAAGTGCCAGGAGAGACAAAGCTCTTCACTGCCTCCCAGAGCTACTCATGAGGCATTTTTATCTCATCTCCAAGAGGATATTTAACATATACCTCAGCAGGGCCATGTTTATAAACATATTTCAGGATAAAATTTAACATTATAGCCGAATGAGCTGGAAATTCTGGTTTAAGCTGGATGTGCCCAGGACTTCCTGTTCCCGAACTGCAAAATGTTTGCCTTCCCCTATCAGCACCTCAGACTAAATTTGTCCCAAGCTGAACTCTCTCTCTTCCTCCCTCCTCTGCTTTATCTCCTCGCTACCTCTCAGGCTTCACCCCAATTCCAGCCTGGCTGGAAGTTTGGGGACTCCAGACCTTCCCCCACCTCCCCATCTGCACCCCCATGGCACGAGGGCCAGCCCTCAGCTGCTCCATGACAGCCCCTCTGGAAGACCTCCTCGCTCCGCCTCCATCTCCTCCAACAGATCCCACCTCTTGTTGCCTCGTTGTCTTCCTCCAGGTGCAAGCTTCCCAACGTCCCTCTTCCAAAACCTGGGCAGTGGAAGAGTTCCTACACACCATGGCCCAAACTCAGCCTGGCATCTAATCTGGAAGATGCACTTAGATGTACCAGGTCACACAGCTGGTAGCTTTTGGTCTTTCTTGATGTTACAAAGAAAAATAGAAATCTGTGTTGAGGTATGATGGGATATAATATAAATTGTCCAGGCACGCAGTTTGGTGAGAAATCTGGGCTCGAACTTGCTTTGTGCATTTGGACCTCTCTCCCTTGCTTAAACCATCATCCCGCCTGGGGCGCCCCAATGCCAGCCTGCCTGGTCTGTCACCATCATACCAGCTCGTCCCTTCCAGGCTCCAGCTCAGACCTACGTCCAGACTCCATCCTCCCTCTCAACCCTCAAAGACACATCATCAGATGCTGCCTTAAAGGCTCACTTGGCTCATGTCTTGGCATCCCAGAAAGTTCAAAGGCATCTGGGTGGGGGCAAGCCAAGCACTTTGTCTGCTCCTACTTACACAAAAGTGCATTGCTGTCACTTAGAGAAAAATCTACTTAACGCTGAATAAAATTTTTTATTGTGCATATTTGTTTTTTCAGCTTTATTGAGGTATATTGACAAGTAAAATTGTAAGATATATCAAGTGTGCACAGTGGTGATCATTGCATGTATTGTAAAAGGATTCCTCCCATCTAGTTAATTAATGCATCCATCACTTTTTTGGATGGATCCATGCATCCAGCGCTTTTTTTTTAAGTTGGCTCCATGCCCAGCATGGAGCCCAAAGCGGAGCTCAAACTCATGACCCTGAGGTCAAGACCTGAGCTGAAATTAAGAGGCAGATGCTTAACTGACTGAGCCACCCAGGTGCCCCTGACTTTTTAATTTTTTTTAAAGATTTTTATTTTTGAGTAACCTCTACACCCAACATGGGGCTCAAACCCACAACCCTGAGAGATCAAGAGTCACGTGCTCTACCAACTGAGCCAGCCAGGTGCTCCAACCAACACTGACTTTTAAAAAGACTGTGGGAATTCATATCTTGTGTTGTCAAGAAGAATTACAAAGTTGATTACAGTGAGCAGAATTTGACTTCATAAAATTGAATTCTGAAACAACTGGATGCAGAGTTAATAGAGAAGGGACTTTCTCAGCTTGGTTCTCTGCCAGGTGCCTTGGAATTTCATCAATTTATGTGTTTCCCCGGGCAGTGTCTTTTTATTGAAAAGTTTAAAAGTGTGTAGTAATTCCACTGCAAGGAAAAACTGCAACTTGAAAGCATGGATTACTACAAATGATACTATATTTTAAGAGGAAATTTCCGAAAGCCTTAGTTTCCCTTCAGGATTTTTTTTTTTTAATGGTCGAAGTGAAAGCCTTTGAGGTGATTATGGATTGGATATATAGCAATGTGAACTGTAAAAACAGAAACCATTGTCAAGGCCAAGAAATCCTCAGCCAATAATGGATGCAGGTAGGATAACTGGATGGAATCCAAGGAGAGCTGCTATCTTTCTGATTTTGTTCAATTTTAGAACCGCACACAGGTCCACCAAGGGCCTTCAAGTGAGGTGTGTGGGGTTCCATTTTTAGGTTCTGCTACAAAGAGTGAGACCTTAGGCAGGATACTCACCTTCTCTGTGCTTGAGTATTATGGTCTGGGGTCTGATCCTCATTCTGCCCCTGACCAGCTCTACACTGGTGAACAATTTATTTCATTTCTTTGTGATTGTTTCTTCATCTTAAAAATGGATTATTCTAATGTCCACTTGATAATCTTGTTTTATTCAATGAGATCACACCTGGAAAAGCACTTAGAATAGCTCTTGTAAGAACACATAAGTATTTCATAACTAGAAGCTATGGCTGTTACTAACACCAGTATTACTATTATATTTTCCTGCGGGTTGTTGAGAAGGTCAAATCCAAGAACGCTCACCGGGACAGGCTACTTAATTTGCAGAGCCCCGTACGAAATGAAAATGTAGGGTCCCCTGTCCAAAAATCATTAAGAATGTCAAGGCTGGAACAGCCGAACATTAAATCAAGCGCGGGACTCTCCCGCACAGCCTGCGCGCCCTCGAAGCCGGCCCTGGAGCCTGAAGGAGCAGAGCGTTTGCATACAGTAGGTGCTAAATAAAGCCTCTTGACCTTTGTGTCAGCTCGCTCCTACAGCTCTCACGCACCAGCACGGGAACGTTGACCATAACACTGACCACTCGCTGTCACTTGTGCCTGCCTGGCAGAAGGACAAGACCTGGCATCGCGCTCGCGGGTCGGGGGGGGGGCAAGGGGTGGGGAGTCCCACGGCGAAGACCGGCATCTCCCACCCGGGACCCCCAGCCTTCTGGCCAGTGTCTGCCGCTCAGTCACAGCTAGGTCTGGCCACACCGGGCCGCCGAGGCCGCGGCTCAGCGCCGCCCGCGCGCCGGAGGACACGGTCGGGAGGATCGGGGTCTGTCCGCCGCCCGGGGCGCATTTCAGAGGCCCAAGGCTGCGGGGCCACGCGGCGAGTGCGCAGCCCCGCCGGCCGCCAGGTCCCGCGAGCGCCGCCAGCGTCGGGGCTGCGCCGTCTGCGCGTGTTTACTAGTTGCCCGAGGAGACGCGCGCGCATCCGCACCCGCACCCGCACCCGCCGCTCCCGGCCGCCTGCGCTCCTCCGGCTCCAGGCGCCCCGACCGCGCCAGCGACGCCGCCCGCAGCGCCCCGTCAGCCCCCGCGCCCGAGGTACGTCCCAGACCGCGGGCCGCGCACGGGGGTGGCCCCGGCGGCCTCTCGGAACGGCGCCGAGCACCCGGGGATGGACGGCCGTGGGGCGTCCGGGCGCTGGGTGTTTGCAAACTTCTCGTTCCCAGTGCGTGGGTCCCTCGTAGTGGGTATGGCTCCGCCTTGGAAGTGGACTGGGACGGCCGGCGGCCGGTTAATTTTAGGAAGTTAGGAGCAGGTCGTGAGTTTGTGACGTGCGTCTGAATTTCAGTTTGCTTCTCTGACCACTGAAACGGGTGAAATTCTAAAGACAACTTCTGTAGCGCCGCGGACTCCCCCACCCCTTTCATTTAACTTACACTACTTGCCTAGAAGTGATTCGGAGCAATTTCTTCAGAATCTGGTGTGGTAGGATTAATGGTGGTCCTGAGCAAGGTCGCTGGCCTTTTTGTTGCTGGTCACCCTAGTAACAATCATTCAGTTGTCCTTGGATCCATTTACTCAATTACTTGGCATTGGGGACTTTGGGGCATCAGATATGCTGTAACGCGCGCGCGCGCGCACACACACACACACACACACACACACACACACGAAGTTAGGGCTGGCAGAGCCAGGGTTAGATATCCCCTCTTGGACCTGGCATCAGGGTCCCACCAGGCACAGCGTGCTGGGGTGTTGCTAGAGACAGGGAAGGAATTGTTTTCGGCAGAGCTGCTAACCTAAGAGTTGTCCTCAGCCTAACCATACTGGACCACAGAAATCTCTGGGGGACACTCTTCGATTCAAAACATGGGGTGGATTCTCCAGCATGTTTTAGGAATTCTTCTAATATTTAGAAGCTTTGATTGCTGCCTTACATCTGACCTATATTTCGATTTCTTTGATTCCAGGCTTATTGTGGAAAATTAGTAATATATTGTACAAATAAAAGTTTTTTTTTCATTTGACATTTTGCAAATTTTATCCCAATATGACATGCCCTGTGAATTAACAATGTTAGCCCAGGGGCGCCTGGGTGGCTCAGTCTGCTGAGCCTTGGACTCTTGATTTCCCTGGGTAATGATCTCAGGGTCCTAGGATCGAGCCCCCATCTCTCTGTGCTCAGCAGGAGGCGGCTTGAGGATTCTGTCTTCCTCTCCCTCTGCCCCTGCTCCACTCGTGCTCTCTCTCTCTCTCAAATAAATAAATCTTTAAAAAAAAGAATGTTAGCCCATGCATAAGTATTTAGTATTTTTATATTATTTATATTTGTTTGGAGAAACAATTGAAAGTGAATTATAGACATCATGACCCTTCATTCCCAGATATTCTAGTAGGTATCTCCTAAGAGCAAGGGCATTCTCCAACCAAAATGCAATGATCAAACCCAGGATGTTTGACATTGCTGCAGGAACTTTATCGAATGTATACTATCTAAAATATTTTGCCAGTTGTCCCAATAATGTCATTTACTGCAGAATATTTTTTCACATCAGGATCATGCATTGTATTTAGTTATGTGTCTTTAGTCTCTATAAACCTGGAATAGTTCCTCAATCTTTGTTTTTGTTTTTTTAAAGATTTTATTTATTTCTTTGACAGAGAGAGACACAGCAGGAGAGGGAACGCAAGCAGGGGGAGTGGGAGAGGGAGAAGCAGGCTTCCCACTGAGCACAGAGCCTGATGCAGGGGCTCAATCCCAGGACCCTGGGATCATGACCTGAGCCGAAGGCAGACGCTTAACGACTGAGCCACCCAGGTGCCCCAGTCTTTCTTTGTTTTTGATGATACTGATATTTTTACAGAGTCTAGGTCATTTGTCTTGCAGAATAAGTTCGTCTGATTGTTTTTCATTAGATTTTTGGTAGAAATACTGTGAAGTGATATGTCTCAGTGTATCACACCAGGAGGTGCATGATGTCACTTTGTTCCACTTTTGGTGATCCTGATTGGTGGTATTTGCCAGAGTTTTCCACTGTAAAAGTGAAAAAAAAAAAGCTTTAACAATAGGTTAAGTGATCATATTAAGTAATCTTATTGATTCATATTGAGATTTTTAGGATAAATTTTACTGCCTACATAAAGGAAAATATTCGGGGTGCCTAGGTGGCTGAATTAATTAAGTATGCAACTCTTGATTTTGCTCAGGTCATGATCTCAGGGTCATGGGATCGAGCCCAGCATGGGGCTGCACCCTCAGCTTGGACTCAGTTTGAGATTCTCCCTCTACCCCTCCCCTCTGCGTGCCTGCGCACGCTCTCTCTCTCTAAATAAATAAAATCTTTAAAAAAAAAAAAACAAAATATTCACCAAGCCCAAGATTTTAATTGACCTGAAAGACCTAAATTTTACTGACACTAAAAGTAGAAGCTGAAAGATCAGCACTTATTAAAGTTAATTTTTCAGTTTGCTAAATACTTCATCTGAGACAATTTTAAAACTCAGGTAGGCAAGGCAAGAATTTCCCATTATATGGTTGTGAAAATGGCTTGCTCAGTTCCCAGCTGCTGTAGCTGGGACTTAAATATCTTTCTTTTGAAAGTTTAGTCCTTTTTTGACCACACCATCATGTACTGAAAACAATAAAATATAATAGTATGCAACTGTATGAGGACATAGAATACTGCAGAGACCAAAGGTACTAGTTCTGTGTTCAAGCAATCCTGATCATACCCTTTATTATCTGTGATGACATGGGCAAAAAAATTACTTATGTCTCTGACTATAGTTTCTTCAACTGAAACATGGGATCAGAGTCCTTACCACATAGTGTAGTTTTGGGATTTCACAGTTAATATATCTAATCCACCCAAACTGACAGAGTTAAGTGCTTATTAATATTAGCTCTTCTTATTCTCTGTAACCCTGGAATTTGCCTTGGCATCTACCCCCTACTGCCATCACTGACACCTCCATTAATAATACCTCAGTCACCACCTCAAGAAACAGAAATTGAGGATTTGTGTGGGGTGCTGAGGGTAAAAAAATGAATTTGACACAGTTTCTGCTCTCAGTGAAGAATCAAGAGTTCACAACCAAGAAAAACAGACACAGAAACAGATGACTTTCGTTGGTGTCAGCCATGACCCAAATTTAATGTGGCATTTTTCTCAAGTTGGGTTTACCTCTAATCAAATCATCAGTAGAGCTTTACTAGGCTAGAAAATATGATGAATACTGAGAGCAATGTTGTGACTTGAAGTATAACAGCTCAAGCACAGAAGTCCGAAACATGCTTCTGGGAAATTTACAAATAGAGCTTTGAGCAGAACAGTGCAACTTTGCTGTGCATTTGAAATAAGGCATGGAAAAAAAAAAGAAATAAGGTATGGAAGCTGAAAAATGTTACCAGATTATTAAAATAATACCAGTGAGCAAAAAGCTACAACAGTCGTTTGGTAAAAACAGATCAGAGATGCCTTTGCTCTGTCAGTGTTTTCACATACCTAGAAGACCTGAACCAAAGTTGAGGCTCCAGTAAATAGTACTGTTGGGACTTTGAGCAAGTCTCTTTCCTCTCTGTGAAACAGATTAACTAACTGTCTGATGGGGTTGTTCTGAGAAGAAAATGTAGGTAGCAACAGTTTATCAACAGCTATATGTCCTCAGAGCAACAGACCTGGAGCTGGTGAAGTATAGTTATAAAGGAAGTCAAATCAGTTTTCCCTTTATTTCCCCACTATTTCCACTTTTAAAAAAATTATGAGAAAATCATCTTACCCATATTTACATGCACAGTGCAGTGGCAGTAAGTACATTTATATTATATTGCAACCATTCCACCATTCATGCCTAGAACTTCTGTTTTTTTAGAACCGTTTCATCTCAAAAAACTGAGACTCTATACCCACTAACCCATAAGTCCCCATTCCCCTCTCTCCCTTGGCCCAGAAACCACCATTCTACTTTCTGTTTCTGAATTTGACTACACTAGGTACCTTATATAAGTGGGATCATGCAGTGTTTGTCATTTTGTGACTGCCTTATTTATTTAACATAATGTGCTCAAGACTCATCCCTGTTGTAGCATGGCAGAATTTCCTTTCTTTTTAAGGCTGAACAATATTCCATTATATGTATATATCATGTTTTGTTTATCCATTCATCTGTGCCCAGACACTGGGGTTGTTTCCGCCTTTGGCTCTAGTGAATAATTCTACTTTGATCATAGGTGCACAAATAGCTCTTCAAGACCTTGCTTTCAATTCTTTTGGGAGTGCTGGATGATAATGGTGTTTCTATTTTTAATTTTTTGAGGCAATACCATACTGTTTTCCATAGTAGGTGAACCATTTTACATTGCCACCAGCAATGCACGAAGTTTCCAATTTCTCTACATCCTTGTCCACACTTACATTTTTCTTTCCTGCCTCCCTCCTTCTTTTTTCTTTTTACAGTAGCCATCCCAGTGGGTATGAGGTAGTATCCATTTATACT